TCGCCGCCCACCGTCAGCTGCCAGGCCAACAACTTCTCCTCAGTGCCCGCGGGGCTCCCGCCCGGCGCCCGCCGCCTCTTCCTACAGAACAACGTCATCAGGGCGCTGCGGGCGGGCACCTTCGGGCCCAGCACCGTCACCCTCTGGCTCTACTCCAACAACATCTCCTCCATCCAGCCGGGCACCTTCCGCCACCTGCCCGCCCTGGAGGAGCTCGACCTGGGTGACAACCCCCATCTCCGCGTCCTGGCCCCTGACACCTTCCACGGCCTCCGGCGCCTCCAGGCCCTGCACCTCTACCGGTGCCAGCTGGCCAGCCTGCCCAGCGCCATCTTCCGCGGCCTCCACAGTCTCCAGTACCTCTACCTGCAGGAGAACGGGCTGCTCTACCTCCAGGTCCGCTGCGGCCCTGGGGCTGCCCTGGCGCAGCTGTGGGGTGCCTGTGGGGCAGGGCTCTTGGGCATGCCCGGGGGACAGGGGGTGCCTGTAGGGCAGGGGATGGGGCAAATGCTTGAAGCAGGGTGGTGGGTGATGCCTTCAGGGCATGCACACGGGACCAGGTGGGAGACCAGCGGGTCAGGGTGATGGGTGACACCCAGGGAGCAGGGTGACAGTGGCACCAGAATGTGGGGCAGGGTGGTCTCCTGCAGCCAGCACATGGGGTGGTGACGGGTGATGCTCACGGAGCAGGGACAGGGGACAGCGATGGCCACAGGGCAGCGTCACGGGCAGTGCCTTCAGGGCATGCACACGGGACCAGGTGGGAGACCAGCGGGTCAGGGTGATGGGTGACACCCAGGGAGCAGGGTGACAGTGGCACCAGAATGTGGGGCAGGGTGGTCCCCGGCAGCCAGCACATGGGGTGGTGACGGGTGATGCTCACGGAGCAGGGACAGGGGACAGCGATGGCCACAGGGCAGCGTCACGGGCAGCACCAGCAGAGCAGAGGCGCAGGGGGGGGCTGGTGGTGATGGGCATGGGACAAGGCGTTGGGAGCCTTGGAACCCCCATGGAGCAGGGACACAGGAACATGGGTGACACCCAGGGAGACGGGGGGGCAACGAGTGGTGCCTGCAGGATGAGGACGCAGGGCAGGGTGCTGGGCGATAGCCCTGGAGTACAGGGACAGGACAAGGTGACGCCCATGGAGCTGGGACACGGGGCAGGACCCACGGGACCCCCACAGGCAGGTCTCCCGCTGATGCCCACCATGCAGGGACACGGGGCCAGGCTGGGGGCTCCCCAGCGGGGCTGCGGACCCCATACCCAACCCCTCTCCCCTCCTCCACCACAGGACGACCTCTTTGCCGACCTGGCCAACCTGAGCCACCTCTTCCTACACGGGAACCGGGTGCGGGCGCTATCGGAGGGGGGCCTCCGGGGGGTGCCCCGCCCGGACCGCCCCC